TTGTCGTACGACAAACTTTTTAAGCGCATTGATTAGCTAATTTCTAGAGACTCAAGAAAGTTTCTATTTTGCAGCCAATCGATATGCTTAAAAAGTTTGTCGTACGACAAATGTAATATCGGCCTTAAGGTGCCTTTACATGGCAGCGTTAAGCGTCAAGCGTCGAGCGTTAAGCGTCTGCGCAAAATATTGTTGCCCAGAATTATATTTCATTTATTTTATTATATAACAGATGTGTGTGTGTGTGTGTGTATGTGTGTTATTATTAATCAAAGATATAAAATCTTTTACCGCATTTGTATTTTAATTTAATTTTAATTTACATTGCCAGAGTAGTAACGTTCCATAATATATCTTTGATTAATAATAATAATAATACACACACACACACACACACACACACACATACACACACATCTGTTATATAATAAAATAAATGAAATATAATTCTGGGCAACGATATTCTGCGCAGACGCTTAACGCTCGACGCTTGACGCTGGAATATCTGATAAATTTCCATCATGAAGTAAATCGAATTTCTCTTGCATTGCAATGTTGATTGCATGAGGACTTGTTTGTTTATTGCTCGTAGTAATAGAACCGGTCCGCTCTAATGATTGACTGATTGGTTGCAAATTTTTATGCAAGCCTGTATTAAATATTAATTTTCTTTTATCCATATTGAAAAGAATTTGTTTCTCTTTCGGCATATAAATATATCCTCAAAATTAAAAACTTTTATTCCTCTCATTCACTTGTCATGCCCGCGAAAACCATAGACCCTTAGAACATATATAAATGGAAGGGGAATAGCAGGCTGAAAAGTGTCCGAAGGAAGTAAGAAAGAAAATCATAGTTACCTCTCTCTTGTGAATTACTCTGCTCAAAAGTGCGCATGCACGGCCATGTGTGTGTACACAAAAGTATGTATACACAGCCTCGATGCTTGTTGTGTAGTTACTCCCAAGAGAGAGGCAACTACGATTTCTTTCTCACTTCCTTCCGACACTTTTCAGCCATTCAGCCTGCTATTCCCCTTCCATTTATATATGTTCTAAGGGTCTATGGTTTTCGCGGGCATGACAAGTGAATGAGAGGAATAAAAGTTTTTAATTTTGAGGATATATTTATATGCCGAAAGAGAAACAAATTCTTTTCAATATGGATAAAAGAAAATTAATATTTAATACAGGCTTGCATAAAAATTTGCAACCAATCAGTCAATCATTAGAGCGGACCGGTTCTATTACTACGAGCAATAAACAAACAAGTCCTCATGCAATCAACATTGCAATGCAAGAGAAATTCGATTTACTTCATGATGGAAATTTATCAGATATTAGATCATCAAAATCATTAAATAATCAGTCAATAGTAAAGAATAGGTCTTGTATCGAAAATAAAGAAATAAATTTTTGTGAAACTGAGAAAGATATATTGAAAAAAAATAATTTTTCTGTTGCCAATAAATTGTTAAAAACTAAGGCATTAATATCAAAACAGCTTAATAGTCAAATATTAGAGAATATATCTGCAACAAGTCAACAAGACAACAATCATTTGTCAGGAGAAGGTATATCAATAACAAGCAGGTCTTTACATATTGCTAATCATACAGTTGGACGAAAACGTAAAATTACTTGTTCACCAGAGGAAGCTTCAGATAGCGATCTTGACTTTTTGTATAATGAGCGTACAGTTATAAAGAAGAAACGGAATGAAATTCTACCTGATAGAAATTCGCAACATGTTGCCCAAAATATTAATCACAATCATGATTTTACTGAAAAAAAACTTTCTGTGGTTTCTAAATCGTCTGTTAAACCAAATATTAAATCTAGTATTTCCCAAAAGAAGCAACAGGATAAATATAAAGAATCTGTTTCATCTACAGAGTTAAAGAAATATAGACTTAACAAAGATTTGGAGGAATGTAGAATTAACACCGACGAATATTTTTCAAAAAAGCAGGATTTCTATGTACCTCCTGTTTTTTCTAACTTTTTGCAGAAATGTGGTATTACAATATCAAATAATGGTATATATATACTTAGTAAGTTCTTTTTTTAATTTTATGTATATGTCTATTTTTTATTCATAATCAAGGAAAGATAAATAGAATTATAAAGAAAGATAAATAGAATTATACATTTATAAAATTATATTTTATTAAAATGATGTGAAATTTCTTTGCTTATATAGATGTTCCTTCATCCATTGCCAAATGGAAGATGAGAAATATATTAAACTCAAAGCAATGTCAGAAAAAGGATATAATTGGTTCGATAGAGGAATATGTTAGAAATGAAGAAAGTTTTGAAAAAATGTTAAACGATATGGAATTATCTATTGATAATAGAAGTTTCAGTACTTTAAATAAAATATCTCTGGCAAGAATATTACTAGAAGTTACAGAAATTCAAGCAGACATATATAATATATTTATATCTAAACTTAATGAATCTATTCTTTTATTGTAAGTGTGTATATACATATGTCAGAAATTTGAAATCAATATAATTTTGCAGACTTTAAATTCAAATTCTCTTTTCTGTCATGTATGTGATAACAATCTAAATAATAAGGGCAAAACACAATTAGTATAAGATTCTTTTTTTCATATCTTGGAATGTAAAAACAATAATATCAAAAATTAAATTTTGGTAATTATACTGATTTTGATTTTTTATTTATATTAATGTATGTAAATTATATAAATTGAATTGTTTCATATACATGATATTTTACATAAAGTATTACATGTTTTTTCCTAAATTTGACATTTTACAAAAAAATATTTCAAACAAGATTTATAGGGTTTTGAAAGAGAAAAAGTTGATAATTTTAACTTTAAATTAAGATCATTTGTCAAGGTCATGTAAAGCATAATCTAGTTTTTTTTAAAGTAGAACTACCTTAATATTTTTGTATAAATTGATTTCTTGCAATATTTGGCATAAAAAAGTTATAAGGATAGGATGGTCAAAAATTGAATAGTCCACGAAATATTTTATACTTTAATTTGACAATTTAGTTTGACATAAATTATGAAATATCTTGTAAACAATTCAATTTCTGACCATTTTATCCCTATAACTTTTTACGTCAAATATTGCGAGGAATTGATTTATATAAGAAAATTAAGGTGGTTCCATTTAAAAAAACTAAGTTGACTTTCACATAATCTTGAAAAACAACCGCAATTAAAATTTAAGATTATCACTTTTCTCTCAAAATCCAATAAATTTTGCCTGAAAAATTTTTTGGTACAACATTGTTATACTTTATAACATTTTATGTGAAATAACATCCTATTTAATGTGACTGTAATATCGAAAAAATGATCATATCTTTTATTACATTTTGCATATTTTTATAGAGATACTCCAGAAAAAATATCTTGGGCTGTACCATTGTTACATCAGTTTCGTTTTCTGGATACTATAACCAATGTTGGTATAGTAACTACAAATATAGAACAGCTATTAGAAACATGTCCATCATGGTTTCAATATGAGCTCATTTTATTCTTGCCTGATATTTTGTCAGATATTCAGCATCAAAACATTGCTGAAATACTAACAAAAATGTTGGAAGAAAATTGTGAATTGACAAATGTAGTCTTAAACTGTATTGCCAGTTTTAATCTTGATAAAGAATATTTAGAAGACTATAAAATTAAAGTATTACATTTGTTAAAAACAAATATGAAAGTAGAATTTATACCAATTGTTATCAGGTATATTTGTATCTCGAATTTTACATTGTTACTATATATATGATATGATATTTAGTTATAATAATTTTTCTAATTTCTAGATTTCTTCTTAACAATTATATATGTTCCGATATTGTCAAACAAATGTTGCTTATACTACGCAATATAGAAATGCAGCCTCTTGCTGGAGATAAAGTTGAGGAATGTTATAAAAATCAAGTACAGATAATTCAAACATTAAAAATGTGTATGTCATTAGATAAAGATGTGACATATGCTGCAATAATGGTAGTAAAAGATATTAATAAAAATCCAAAACCATTAGATTTAATCATTTTGCTCCTTGTATTCTCTGGAACAACAAGACAAAAAACTGCAGAAGTCTTATTGAAACAAAACATCCGTTGTGGTTTTTATCGGATAAGTTTGCTTCATACACTTTATAATGATTACAAAGAGGTTTGTATATATCTTGCAAATAAAATTTATATGAAATTCTTATTTGACAAATATATATGGAGATTATTATGTTCATATATTATATTTATTTTAGGTCATTCGAGAATTACAACCATCGATATTACAATTAGCGAGTAAATTGTTAAAATCTGAAGAGCATGTGTTTATTAATTTTGCGATTGAATGGTTTCGATTGCAGTTTTTCAATCAGAAAGGAGCATTGTTTAAACAGCGTGAGATTATAGAAAAGATTATTCTACTTATGGGTAATAATGATCAAACTGTAAAACATGCAATGACTATACTTTGTAAAATGGCAGAGAATATGGTTGAAAGAGATTGTTTAGTATCACAATGCAATCATCTAAGAATTTTATTAGAAAAAATAGATTGCTTTGGACTTGAAGAAATTGGCACTTTAAGTGATTTATTGCACCAATTATGTTTAGTTGACAATTCTACTTTAGAATCCTTACGAGATGACTTATTTATACTGCTGCAAAAACAATTGTCCACTGCTAAACCACTGTAAGTAAATTATATAATTAATATACAAATATATTTTATTTGAATATACATATATATGAAATATAAGTATTTAAATATTTTTCAGTACGAAATGCAAAGGTGTCATGGGAGCAGTAATGGCAATAAAACATCTAGCAGGAAAGACTGAAAGTTGCGATAAAGCTCTGAAATTATTTAGTATGTGTTTATTATTTTATATAATTTTTTAAATTCTTATATGATTTATAACAAAGTATATTATAAGCTATAAAATTCAAAAGATTTATATATGATAAAGTTTAATATTCTTTGATGCATTATAACTTCTTTACCAATTAGTATAATGGTAAAGTAAAAAAAAGATTAATACAAATATCTTCTTTTTTTGTGTATGTATATAGATAAGGTAATGAAGAGTGTGAAAAATTGTTCTAAATCGCAACCTTTATTTTATGACCAATTGGCGCAAGTAATTGCAGAAACTGAAACAATTAATATTAACTTTCTTCACAAAATTAGTAACTGTATCGAAGACGAGTTTGTTAATACATATATGACAGATAAACCCCAATCCAGGTAAATAACACCTTAAATATTTTTTTATAATTTAATTTCATGAATATCTATGTAAATGCCATGAGAGTTATATGAATACATTTATATGTGCATATGTGTGTGAAATTCATGATGCTTACATAAATGATGAATGTAAATAAATATTATGTAATTTTTGTTTATGTTAGTGAAGATTTAATACCTAAATTTGGATTGAATAATGCAGAACATGAACCAGAAAATTATGTGTTAAATTTTGGAAACAAAAGAAATGGTCCGATTGCGCCGATATTGTTTCGACTTCTCAAGACATGTTGTATGAAGACCAGCATACATGGAGAATTGGAAGCTATAGATGCTCTTTTAGGGTGTAAAATGTTAATGCCACAAAATTTTGATATACCGGAACCTCCAATACTAGATCTTATTATATGCAGTATTAATTGGTAAGTATTAAAATTAAATTTCTTTCTTTTCATAAAGTAATTAGTATGCGCATAATTTCTTTTTAATATTTTGTCAAGTCTAACTAAAGTGACTAATTGCGAAAGGAATGTTATTACAGGCTTAGGGAAATAATTACAGGCTTTGTCACACAAACAGATCCTTTATTACGAGAACAAGTATTAAAACGCTTAGACACTTTGATATATTTGCAAGGTGAACTGAATATGCTACTAATATTATGTGACACTAATTATCAACCCCCACCATGTTACTTTCATTATTTTCCATTACCGCAATTTGTAAAAATTGAGAAGAAGTCTAGTAAAAAGGGAAAGAAGCCTACGAAAGGAAATAAATTGAACATATCTATAAATATAGAAGATGAATCCAGAGAGATAAGTTCTACATTATGTTCTAAAAATCCAGCATATTTCAGAAAGTTTGATGCAAAGGTACATTAATAAGGATTTGTAGCATAACTTATAATGTGAAATTTTTTAACAAACTTTGAGAATTATTCTAAAGACATATATATGTTTATCATTGTGTTGAGTTTTATTTTATAGTTTTCAACTTTATGTATAATATTTTATAATTTTGCACAAAATCTTGTTGATAAAATTTGCTTTACTAAAGAATTTGAAAATTAATAAAGGATATGATTAATTTGCAAAAACTTTTTTTAATATTATATTTAAAAATTATAAAAATATATCATAATTTTCTTCTTTAAGAAATAACGATTAT